CCCGGGGTGTCCCCCCCCTCCGGGAGGCTCCGGGAGGCTCCGGGAGGCTCCGGCCGGACTGGTTGGTGACTCAGACCGGGCGGGGGGGGACCGGGGCTGACTCAGAGCGGGGAGGGAACCGGGGGAACCGGGGGGGAACCGGGGGGGGACCCGGGGCTGACTCAGAGCGGCCCCGAGCGCTGGGAGGGGCCCCAAAATCCGCCCGAATTCGCCTTTTCCAGGAGTTCCCCCCATTTCCCACCGCCCCCCCCATTTCCCCGGGGTCCCCCCGCGGCTCGGGGGGTGACACGGACCGCCCCGGTGACACCGGGGACAGCTCGGTGTCCCCGCAGCAATGCCGCCCCCCCTCCCCCCGCCGCGCTATTTTTGGGGTGCAAACCACGTGCCCGCTATTTTTAGCAGCCTGTCCCCCCCCTCCGACCCCTCCCCCGCCCCCAAAAACCGCGGAGGGACCGGGGGGGGGGATGGGGGGGGATGGGATGTCACCCGTGTCACCCCGGCCGCGCCAGCGGGGTCCCCACGGGGGGGGCACGGGGTCCCCAGCCCTGGGTGGCGTTTGGGGACACGGGGACGCTGATGGGGACCCCCCCGGGCGCGGATTTGGGACCCCCGGGTGCAGATTTGGGACCCCCGGGTTCGGTTTTGGGACCCCCGGGTGCAGATTTGGGACCCCCGGGTTCGGTTTTGGGACCCCCGGTCCGGTTTTGGGACCCCCGGGTTCGGTTTTGGGACCCCCCCCCCGGTCCGGTTTTGGGACCCCCGTCGGGTGCGATTTTGGGGCCCCCCTGCCCCCCCGTGTTTGCTCGGGGGCCACAAGGTCACAAATGTCCCCCCACCCCCGGGACCCCCGGGGCGGGGCCGGTGACGCCGGGCCCGGGAGGCTCCCGGGAAACGGCGAATCCCGGAAAACATTCCCAAAAACCGGGGAAAAACCGGGAAAAACCGGGGGAGCAGCGGGGGAACGGGGCAGAGGCGGCGGAGCGGGACGAGGCGGCGGCGGAGGCGGAGCGGGCGCGGCCCGCGGCCGGGCCGGTACCGGTCGGACCGGCTGGAGCGAGAGTCCCGCGGGCGGCGGGCCCGGCGGAGCCGGGAGGGTCCCGGACCGGTTCCACCGGGCCCTGCCCGGACGCTGCCCGCGGCCACGCGCGGCGCCGCCGGGACCTCCGCGTGTCCCGGCCCCGCCCGGGCCGCTCCCCAAAACCCCCC